GAGGTGCCCAATGGCGAGGCCCACATGGTGAGAAACCAAATCCTGCCGATACCCCCTCAGTGAACCGAAAGCAGGTCCTCCTAAGTGGAGCTGTGGGGTGACTGCAGTCCCATCTGACAGCGGACGATGTCCTTGTGAGAGATCTCCAGAGGGCTCACTTAAGTCCTGGGTTTCTGACCACAGAAAATGTGAGATGATAAATATGTATTGTTTTAAGCCACTAGGTTTTTGGGCAGTTTACTACACAGCAGTAGGTAACTAGTACAAAAATGTATGTTTGTTTATACAATACGTGTCTTTAAAAACTGGCCACATGCCCGGTCCGTGTGGCTCAGTGGATTGAGCATCATCCCGTGGGCCAAGAGGTTCTGGTTCAATCCTGGTCAGAGCACATGTGCAGGTTGCGGGCTCCATCACCAGTAGGGGGCGTGCAGGAGGCAGCCGATCAATGTTTCCCTCTCACATCGATGTTTCTATCTCTCTCTCCCTTCCTCTCTCTCTAAAATATCAATAAAAGCATATTTATAAAAAGAACAAACTAGGCACAGTGCTTGGCACTAGGGAAGGAAACTAAATTCTGGGCCTCAAGATGAGAGGAAACCTACTTTTACTGTACACCCTTTGGCCTACCTGAATATAATGTTTATTCAGCAAGTGACGTTTTTAATATCCTTCATTAAACAATAATTTCAAAGGTCTATTTCTAAAATGCACGTATGAATTTTCTCTATATCTACATACATTAGCTAGTCACTCACAAAGAAGTTTTATCAAACTTACTTAAATTTGAGCACATATAACATCACTTCACATAAAAAAGAGACTCTTCTCTTTCACCTTTTTGGGAAAACAGGAAAAATGCCTTCTTTTCAACTTCCTGTCTGCCTCTCCTGGCCTGACAGCTGGACCTCCACCTGTACTGCAGTCACCTATGTGCCAGTCCCCCTCTGGGCCTGCTGCTTCCCAGCTCTGTCCCTTAACTCAAACATCCTCTCAACTTGCATACTTTTCCTCCCAGGCCCCTTTCCTAATTCCTGTGCAAAGTACAGGCCCCAATTCCAGGTTCTTCCGCCGACACAGCCCACTCTTGCCCAACCCCCTCTCATTGCTGCACCTACTAATCCAGTAGTAGTTCTGCTCCTGCATATGCATCCCGGGTATTGGTCTCTCACTCCTTTGGACTATGCCTGTACTTTACACCTAGTCCAGATAGGTCTTCACCCATTGTATTGTCATTTTTCTGTCTAAATGTAAACTCCTTGGAGATGAGAAGGTGAGCATGTGCTCTTTCACGTTCCCCCTCCCAGAGGATAATGCTACCCAGGGCAGGGGGAGTGGATATGGTTAGCCCACAAAGAGGTCACTTAAATTCTTGACATAAATTTACAAGAGTTTTTGAGGATTTATACATGTATCACCTTAGGATTTATGTATAGGAAACCTTTAGTTGCGATTGACAGAAGCGTCCACACTTGTGTGGTTTAAACTATAAGGAAATTTTATAATTTCACCCATCAAGAGTTTAGTGGTGGGACTGTTTGTCCCAGGATCTGTCAACTTAGCAGCTCAGTCCCATCAAGGACCCAGGTTCTTTCCATCTCTTTGCTCTGTCATTGGCAGTGGGTCAGCCTGCTCCTCAGTTACAAAATGGCTACTCGATTTCTCAACATCACACCAGAGGAAGCGTTCCTTTCTTCCTAAAAGCTTGTATATCTTTTTTTTTAATCTCTCTTTTTTTTTTTTAGAAAGAGAGGAAAGGAGAGGGAGAGAGAGATAGAAACATCGATGAGAGAGAACATCGACTGGCCGTCTCCTGCATGCCCCCCACTGGGGATCAGGCCCACTACTTGGGCATGTGCCCTGACCAGGAATTGAACCGGTGACCTTTTGGTGCAATGGTCGATGCTCAACCACTGAGCAACGCAAGCTGGACTTTCTTTTTTATTTTTATCCTCACCGAAGGACACTTTTTCATTTCTTGTTCAGATAGAGTGGCAGGGAGAGAGAGGAAGAGAGAGAGAGAAACATTGACGTGAAAGGGACACATCGAGTGGCTGCCACCCGCACGACCCAACCAGGGCCTTAGCTGGAACTGAACCCGGGTCTCTCTGCACCACAGCCCGATGCTCTAACCGCTGAGCCAAATTGGCCAGGGCTGGACTTTCTTTTTTAAGACTGAAACAACAAAAACAAAAAAACTTCTTAGAAGCCACTCTGGTAGATTTCCCTTCATGGTTCATCAGCCAGAAATGAGTTGGGGTGCAGGCCTAATGCAGCTGACAGCAAGGGAGCAAGATAACCATGGTTGGCTTATATGGAGCACCTGGCTGACTAGGGTGTGTATTATCTTCATAACATCTGGGTTCTGCCATCATGAAGGAGGGTAGGTAATAACACTGTCTCCTACATTGTGAGGACCTAGACTTACTGACTTTGTGGGTTTTGTTTTGTTTTTCACTATTAAGCTAAATTGCATATATTATAATTAGAAAACACTACATCACTTCCAGCACCTGGAGATTTTTATTATTATTATTATTCTCACACATGTGACCTAAATCTAACTCAGAACATGGATTTTTAAAATTCTGAGCATTGGTAGTACTCACCTTATTATTTTGGAAAGCTATAATGGGGTCTGAGTAAGAAAAGTAAGGCAGTTACAACCGGGAACCATGTTGGTGTTTACTAAGAGACAGAGATAATGAATTTTTTTCTCCTTCCCCAACTGGTCAGGACTCTTCAGTGAGCTGAAAGAACAGCCAGACCAGGAGCTGACAAACCGGGCGTATTAGAAAGGAAACAGGCTCCAAGCCAAACTAACTTAGCTCAAACCCTAACTCCACTATATAGTAGCAAATGAACCTTAGGCAATGAAATTAAATTTTCTGGGCCTCTGTTTCCTTATGTGTAAAATAGAGATAATAATTCTGAACTTGCATGTTTCTTAGCAGAGTAAGTCAGAATATGGAATAAAAGCGAATTGTTGAATGCTCAGAACTAAGAAAATATCAAACCTCATGTCATAGTAAAAACAAGCAAACAAAATACAATGTTGTAATACCACAGGGACTGACAGATTTGCCAATGGGATAGAAGAAAGATCTCTTACATCGTGCCACTTGCACATGGGAACTTGATACACAACAAAGGTGTCACCACAGATCAGTGGGGAAAAGGGTAAACTGTGCAACAGATAGTGTTAGAAAAATTGACTCACTGTGAAGAAAAAGAAAACCCAGCCCCCATCTAACACCAAAGCAAGGTCTTGAGACCATGACTACATGGTGGAAAATGCCCTTTTGAACATGCACTGTCCAAATTAGCAGAATGAATGAAAGATGACTAAAAGATCTAACTGTGTATGAATTCTAAAGAAAATGGAAGAAATTATAATAAGGTGTCTTTGTGACCATAGGAGTTGGGAAGTGTTTCTTAAATAAAACTTCTCAAACACAAATCATATGGCAAAAAGTTGATGCATTCGATTACATAAAAATTAATGAGTGTTATTCAATAAGGCCATCATAGATAAAAGCCATAGATTACAGAATAGTAGAAGATATTTGTAGTATTTAAAAATGTGAAGCTATTAACATCTAGAATAGATCAAGGAAAAGACAGCAACTTTAAGAAGAAGCCCAAAGTCCACCAAGTATATTGAAGAGATAGTCAATTAAATTTATACTCCTAAAAAATCAAAATTAAACAAGATATTGAAAGGGTTAGTAATGTTTTAAAGGGTAAAGGTAAAAGCTTGCAAAAGGCAGAAACTGTGAAAAATGTGTTGCCTGCAAGACCTTTGCTCAGCCTTCTGTTGAGTACCGATTATCTGTTATTATCCGCAAGACAATGAATCACCCAGCAGATGCAGGACAAGATACCAGACCAGTCCAACTACAAAGTGGACAATGGGCCATGCAGAGTACGTCAGCAGGAACTGCCAGAAGCCAGAAGCAGAGTATATAACCTACACCCCCAACTGTTATTCGGGGCCGACTCCCCTTTTATTGGGCTCAGCAGGCGCATGCAATAAAGCTGTTTTGCTCTACATTGGTCTTGCCTTGTGGATGTGATCTCCCACTGGCTCAGACCTTGTAGATATCGTTTATACCTAGACACCTACCTATAAGATGGGTAAAAGTTAGAAAGCTTGATAATGCCAAGGGTTGGTGGGAATATGTGATATATCATGCCCTGATGGTGGGGAGTTATAACACCTACTGCTGCATAACCAAACACCCAAAACTTAGTAGCTTAATACAGCAACCATTTCATTTAGCTCATGATTCTGTGTCTTGGAAATTTAGACTGGCCTCTGCTGGGCAGCCCAGAATCTTGATGTCATGACTCATCCCATCTTGTTGGAAAAAAAGTGCTCTCAGAAGATAACCTCCCAACTCTCCAGAGGCTTCCAGACCTCATTAAAGAGACCCTGCTTTACCATGACCAGGCCCAGAGACACTTTGCAGATGAAGGACCTTGACCATCACACTCTGACAGTTTTTGAAATTTTTCTATAAATTTAGATCATTTACTAAAATCAGTCATTTCTTTCATTAACCAGTTCCAATGGCTACTTACTTTGCGATGCATCCGTTCTTTTTTTCATGAGCAAATTAAAATCAGAGTTTAGTTTCCTGCTTCCAATTCAATTAAGGTATCCACACAGCTAAATCTAGACTTTGGAGTCACATTTGATCTTTGTATTTGGCTTCAGAAAGGTGGGTGGTAAAACAAATTAAAGACCTTTTTTTTTAAAAAAAAAAAATCACTTTCTTAGTTATTATTTGTTTCTGATTTAAGAAATGTACCTATTGTTATGGGCTGAATGTTTGTGTCCCCAAAAAATTCCTACTTAGAAATCCTAACCCTCAATGCACGTATTAGGAGGTGGAGCCTTTGGGAGGTGACTAGATCATGACGTCGGAGCCCTCCTGAATGTGATTAGTGACCTTTTTTAAAAGAGACCCAGAAAACTCCCTCACCCTTCCCACTATGTGAGGACACAGCAGGGAGGCAGCCATTTAAGAAGTAGGAAGTGGATCCTCACCAGACACCAAATCTGCTAGACTTGACCTTGGACTTCCCAGCCTCCAGATCTGTGAGAAATAAACATTTGTTGTTTAAGCCCCCTGGGTGCACAGTGTTTTAGTTGTAGTGGCCCTAATGACTAAGGTATCTACTATGTTTAAACAGTTTTCACTTAGATTTTAAAAACAAAGAAGTCCTTGATTTTTTAGAAAATGAAGGACAAATGAAAGAATAGTTTGAAAATTTTCTTTAACAAACAGAGAGTCAATTGCATTGGGTGTTTGGGTTTATTTTTCCAATTCTGTGTAATTTAAATGTATATTTCAAGAGAATGTCAAAGACTGGGAGAGCTTTGATTTTTCTTTTTTTTTTCTTTCTTTTCTTTTCTTTTCTTTTCTTTTTTTTTTTGGGTACGCGCCCTTAGCGGGAACCAATCCCGGACTCTCTGGTCCTCAGGCCGACGCTCCAACCACTGAGCCAAACCGGCCAGGGTGAGAGCTTTGATTTTTCAATGTGTTTTTTTAAAACTTTCATTAACTTAATAAATGGCTTACGTATGATAAAAAGGACAAAATAGAGGAAAAAAGTCAAAATCTTTAAAACCTTAATTTATAAATCCAGATACTGTAATTGACAAATAAATACAAAAAATGTTCTCTTCAGTAACTGGAAATACTGTAGTTCTGACTCTAGGAAGCAAAACGAGTTGTAGAATCAGGGGAAACACGAACTGTGAAGTACTGGCCAGAGGAGCTCTGTAGAGTTGTGATAAGAAGAAACACCCTGCTTAAATAGAACTCATGAAATGCTTTATTTAGTTTTACTGGGTTGACAATATGTGTAAGTCATAACATTTTTTAAAAGTACAAAATGGTGTACAGTGAAAGGTAAAGCCTGCTTTCTCGCACAACACATACTTCTCTTCCTGGAGGCGACCGCTGCTGCTCATTGCTTACATACCCTCCATAAAATCCATACATTCATAAATGTATAAGTGAGCAAACACACTGGGTGTGCTTCCCACAGAAATGGTAGTGAGCTACATACACTGTCCTCACTGGGTTCTTCTTTAAAGAACTTAATGGTATATCTTGGTGACCCTTCTCTGTACGTATAGATCTGCCTTATTGTAGTGGCCGCCTGCTATTGAAGTTACATTATTATTTTATAATTCTATTGAAATTATGCCCATCATTTATTTCATCAGTCTCTATTAATAGACATTTAAGTTATTTTCACTCTTTTTCTTTTATAAATTCTGCTGCAGTGAATACCCTTTAACATATGTCATTTTACACAATATATGCCTATAGGAAAAATACCACAGTTGAGTCAAAGAATGTACACGATTAAAGTTCTGATAGACGCTGTCAATGTGTCTTCCACAAAGGCTGTAATAACTAAATTCCCAAACCTTGCCCACCCAGTTTCTGCATGTTGTTTTTATCTCGGCCAATCGAATAGGTGAAAAATGGTACCTTGCATTGTGTTTCTCTTATTGTAAGTGAGTTAAGCATTTTTTACACGTTTAGGAGAAAGGCCGGTCTTAATCAGGGCAAACTCTAGCATAATAAGGAGTAGAATAATGAGGTGTTATCAGCCAAGTTAAGACCAGAGGGAGTGCATTTTTACAGAGAAAAGATAACTGGGAAAGTTCTGGACTATCCCCACAAACGAGGCCCTCGGTGTCACGTCTCTGCCCACACCGCTGCTTTCTGCGCTGGGCCCCTGCTCTCGGGGATGTTGGCGGAGCCCTGCCTGTCAAGCTGAGGTAACACCAACTCCACCCGGGACTGAAAGGTACCAAAGTGAGACCATCATGTCCAAAGTGCCTCATCCCCTCAGTCCTCAGCCTGCTCTGACCTGATACCCCTCGCAGTCTTTTCCCCTGCACTTTTTAAATCAACTCTGCCCAGCTCTGGCCAGTGTGGCTCAGTTGGTTGAGCGTGTCCCGTACATAACCAAAAGGTGGCCGGTTCAATTCCTGGTCAGCCCAGGTTGTGGGTTTGATCCCTGGTTGGGGCGTGTGCAGGAGGCAACCAATCGATGATTTGTCCTCTCGTTGATGTTTTTCTTTCTCTCTCTTCCTCTTTCTCAAATCAATAAAAAAAATGTACATCAGTTCTGTCCAATAGAAATATAATATGAGCTACATATGTAATTTTAAATTTTCTAGGAGCTAAATGTTTAAGAAAAGTAGATGCAATTATAATTACTTTTAATATTTTAACATATCATAATATATCCAAAATATTATAATTTTGGCATGCAATCAATATAAAAAATATTAATATTTTACATTCTTTTTGGACTGAGTCTTTATAATTCAGTGTGTAATGCATCTCAAGCCACATTTGAATGGCCCAAGTAGGGAATATGGCTAGGCCTGTCTTGTCAAATAGAACTTTCTACAATGATGAAAATGTTAGATCCGTGTTCCCAGAAATACCCTCTAGCCTGCAATACATTCAGTCTTTCCCTAGAGCACTTTCTCCCTCCCCCACCAGGAAGAGGCAGCCCAGGCCCTCTCCTACAGTCTCTACACCGCCCTCAGGCATTTCTAGTAGAGACCACTGATTCTTCTATCCACCAGAACTTCCATGTGGGAGTATGTCTGTAGGATGAATTTCCTAAAAGGAAATTGCACAGTGAAACCGTATTTACATTGCTAATTTTGATAAATATTTGTCAAATTGTCTTCTGGAGGTGCTATACCAATTCATACTCCCACAGGAGCATATGACCATGTTTTTAACTGCTACATAATATTCTGAAGTAAAGAGGATATACATGTAGTGTGTAGGCCCCTTCTGACGCAGGGTGTTAGGTGGCTTTCGATTGTTGCGTTACAAACAACGCTGCAATACACATCCTTGTATGCGCTCCCTTGTGCATCTTTTCTCAAGGATAATTAAAGAAAACAAAGAGAGCACAGGGAGCAGCTATAGCACAAAGGCTCCAAGGTGGAACAGAGCTCAGAGCTCAGAGAACTGATGTGCTTGGAGCACGGGGCGGGGGGCGGGGGCTGGAGACCACAGGGCACACATGGGCAGTTCCCTAATGAGGCCATGGCTATTGGTGAGGATTTGTATTTCAGTCTAAGATCAAGGCTATCTGATCTGCATTTAATTAATTACTTGAGAGAGAGAGAGAGAGAAAGACAAACATCAGTTTGTTGCTCCACTTATTTTTGCATTCACTGGTTGATTCTTGTCTGTGCCCTCACCAAGGATCAAATCCATAAACTCGGCAACATCAGATGATGCTCTGACCAACTGAGCTCCCCAGCCAGGGCCCGGATCTGCATTTTGAAAGATCACTGTCTCTGTTGCATGGGGAATGATTTTGAGGGAAAGAGTGGAAGAAGGAGACCAAGCAATGCTGACTGTAGGAAGGGGCACCAGAGGCCGGGCTGAGTGGAAGGAGGAATCCTCAGCAGGCTGCCCCACATGGAAACGAAATGGAACACGAGCGCCTGGCTCCCAGCAGAGGAATCTGTGGAGTGCTGTGAAGGACACAGATCCATCATGCAGACACAGCCTCTGCCCTCAAGGAGCTTACTCTTTAGCCAGGGATACAGAGATTAAGTGAATCATTTCCACTGGTGTAGACAACAGTCCAGTGGAATAGAGAACAGAGCACAGGCTTTGATACCGGTCATTCTACAATTCAGACTCTGCTCTTCCACTTCCTAGCTGTGTTACCTTGGTCAAATCTCTCTCTCTCCTGTAAGTGTTCAGGAGAGGATTAAATGAGATCTTTGAAAAGCACCTGACACTATGGTGAAAAGAAGATACTGAATTATATTTGGTGAATGAATGGAAAAATTTTCTCTTTCTCTGCCATCTGTCTTCGTGCCCCTCTGCCAGTCTTTCCAGGTATTCAGTTTGGTTCTAAACTGCCACCCCCTCACCTAGCTGGTGTGGCTCAGTGGTTGAGCATCGACCCAGGCACCAGAGGTCGCTGGTTTGATTCCCGACCAGGGCACATGCCCAGGTTGTGGGCCAAATCCCCAGTGGGGGGCATGCAGGAGGCGGCCAATTGATGTTCTTGCTCATTGATGTTTCTATTTCTCTCTCTCTCTTCCTTCCTCTCTCTTTAAAATCAATAAAAATATATATATATTTTAAAATAATAAAAAATAAATAAACTGCCATCCCCTCCAACTACAAAATGTGGTTACCTATTGAGTCAATCCAGCTCATTCTTTGCATGTGGGTTTGCCAGAATCATGAGTTGACAAATAATGCAAATTAATTGTTTATGCTCCCTGGGGCTTATTCTTTTACCAACATTATTCTTTTTAAAAATAAATAAAATATTTTTCCTTTCTCCCCCTTTTATCATCAGGGAATTTAAAACACACTAGAAACAGTACATTTATTTGATTAATGGATACCAAATTATTATGGTTAAATTTATTGTTTTAGACTATAGCTTCACAGGGACATTAATAAACGAGATTGCTTCTGCTTGAATATTAGTTCAACCTGTGGTTTAGAGAGCTGGTAACAGAACATGCCGTTCCACGGATGTTTGGTGAGTGTACTCCACTGACTAGCAGGAAATCAAAGAAAATAATTTTACAAAAGTATCTCCTGTGCCCTCAGCACAAATGACAAAAGTGTTCTTAAAGTCATTTGCTTTTTGTATAAACTTTTCTCTATAGGTTTTTAAAAATTTTAAATGGAAATCTGAGGAATAGAGCTCTTAAATTCTGAAAATAGTATGAGTTATTCCTGGCTACTGGTATTTTAAGAGGCTTTCTTTAGCTTAGAGGCCTTAATTAAGATGATTTGTTTTGGCAGTTACGGGATTTTGTCTTCTTTGTGAGTAAATAATTCAAAACTGACAAAGTAGTATGATGATAACAGACATAGTAGCTTGGTGGTTCAGGTCATAGCCACAGTTGCAAAGTAAAATAAAGTTACTCACAAAATCACAGAGCTTCCCACTCCAGGACAACAGGTTGCCGTCATGAGTGTCCGATCAAACGTGAACTCTCGTGTGTACCATTTCAAACCTTCCTCCACCCTCATACAGATTTACATCTACATATAAATGCAGGTACATGCAGGGCAGTTTCTCCCTACTTCTTGTTTAACAACATAAAACTAAAGGCTCTGGTTTAAGAGATTGGACCAAGCATACACATTGGCTGCCTGTTGCTCCGGAGACCATCATTATGTAGATGTTATTTTTAACGGTAGGAGGTGGATAAAATTGAAACAACAAAGAGAACAGGTGAGGAAGTCACCAATGGACAATACGGAGCAGAAACAGCCAGAGCCCAGAGCACACCAGAGAGGAGGATCCAGATGAGGTGAGTGAGAACCTTGGAATGGGCATTTAATGAAAATATCACATCTATTTATTTACTTAACTATTTGCAATTTAAAATTTATGAATTGTTTATTTCTGGAATTTTCCATTTAATATATTTTGACCATGGCTGACTGCGGGTAAAGGAAACCATGGAAAGCAAAACCGCAGATCGAGGGGGACTCCTGCATGTGAAATGTCTGTCCAGTCGGAATCAACTGTAGAATACTGGGTGACACAGAAGATCAGATTAAAATTAATGGTGAAAAGAAGTTAAAAAACATTCACATAAGACAAATCTCTTCTAATAAAATACAAAGAGTTTGAAAAATCCAAAGAGCCATGTCCCACATCCCCTCTAGAAGAGGCCGGCTTCTTCTCTTGGTTTGGCAATATTTTTGATAATCTTCCTGAATGGCGTATACTCTGACTTCTCGGGCAAGCTGAGCTTCCTCCACAGATGTGTCGCTTCCTTCACGAAATCACTCCTGAACAAGGGGGGACTCCAGCGAAAAGTCCTGCATCTGGTGTCATGCCCAGTTTGCTGCTCGGGAGCGCTTCCAGCTCGACTGTATCAGAGTGAAGTTAAAAATATCTGTACAGGCAGCGTGAGGCCTGTACAGATATTCTCACTGTTACGTGGCCAAACAAAGGGTACGCAATAGATGCCCCTCCTGTATGGCAGAGGTGATGCTGTTTTGAAATCCTTGAAGGAATCCTGGTTTCCATCAGAACGGCTATCGGGGCCACGAGAGATTACTAAAGAAGATACCACATTTAAACAGCTTAGAAAATTGTAAGTGCTCAGAAAATGTTAGCTATTACGTCATGACCAGGAACTTGCTTTTATTACTCTAGGTCAATACATACACATGTAACTGATTCCTTTGTAGGATTGCATTATATTCCATAACTTGTTCATCCATTACCTTATTTAAGAAACCTTCAGATTATTTTCAGGATTTGTTTTTGTTTTTTGTTTTGTTTTGTATTTCAGGGTGTGGCCTACAAAAAAAAAAATGACGCAACAAATTCCCTTGTACACCTATCCTTTAATTAGCGGCACTTTTATTTCTGTAGGCTAGATTTTCAAAAGTGGGATTGCTGGGTCAAAATACCTGTGCAACTTTTATTTTAATTGATTAACCAACTGATTTAACTTTTCAGGAACTATAGCAGACACACTCTGGTCAACAATTTTGATGACTGCCTGTTTCTCCAGCCAGAGTTGGATGTTATCAGTCTCATAAATCCATACATTTACAAATTGATGTCAGTCTGATGGATTAAAAAAAAACTCACTGCTATTGTAATTTGCATTTCCCTGGCCCAGTATAGTCGAACGTCTTTTTATACATTTATCAGCTACGTGAAATTCACTTGTGAACTGATTATTCATATTCTTTGCCTATTTTCTTTTTCTATTTTCTTATCAGATTGTATGACTCCTTTGTATTTTGCACATATTTTCTTGTCTGTCCTATATTGACTTTGATACCACAATTTTCTAGGCAGAAGTTTCTGATAGTTGTGTTGTTGAACTCATCAGATTTTTCCTTTATGGCTGCTAGTTGTTCTGTCTGCCCTAGGTTAACTCTCCCCAAACTGAGACCATAAAAATACTTTCCTATATTTCTTTCTGTTATCCACCTGAGGTTTATTTTTATATAATATGAAGAATTAATAATAATAAGAGTAACAGTAACTGTTAGCATTTATTGAGCAATTTCTATATGCCAGGCGCTCTGTAAGGACTTGATACACTTCAGGATTAGAGATAAGAAAATTAAGGATTGAGAATTTAAGGAACCAGCCAAGTTTATACAATTAAAACACAAAACTGGGATTTCAACCCAAGCAATCTCATTCAGGATCTTATCCTTCTACAGATCCAGATGAGCAGCTAATTATGCCAACCCCATTTAGTAAACATCTTTTCCCACATAATGAAAATATGAATTTTGGGATACAAAGTCTCAAATACAGTCAGTATATCTCTGAATTACATTGTAGTTGTGTTGTGCAGCTATATTATTTTGATTTTAGTAGTTTCATAGTAAGGTTCATTCTCTCTGGTCAGGCAAGAGCTTCCTCACTACTCTTCCAAATGTATCCAATAAACTTTTAAATATTTTTATTCCATACAAATATTTACATCATTGTCTAATTTCTACAAAAATGTACCTTCATGTTTTGACTTGTATTGCATTAAATGAGTCTATTAGTTTGTTAAGAACTGATTTTTTTTTTTTATCCTCACCCGAGGACATTTTTCCATTTTTTACTCAGATAGAGCGGGAAGGAGAGAGAGGAAGAGAGAGAAACATCGATGTGAAAGGAACACATCGAGTGGCTGCCACCCACACGACCCAACCAGGGCCGGGGACAAACTGCAGCCAAGGTACATGCCCTTAGTGGGAACCGAACCCGGGTCTCTGTGGACCGCAGGCTGACGTTCTAACCGTTGAGCCAAACCGGCCAGGGCAAGAACTGATTTTTAAATCTCTCTATCCATAAATATGGTGTAATGTTCCATTTATTTAGGCTCTTCAATAAAATGTTAGTTTTTTTGTTTTGTTTTTGTTTTTTTTTAATCCCCACCAAAGGATATTTTTCCATTGATTTTGAGATAGAGAGAGAGAGAGAAACATCGATTGATTGCCTCCCACATGACCCCAACCAGGGCCAAGGATGGAACTGAAACCAAGGTATGTGCCCTTGACTGGAATCCAACCTGAGACTCTGGTCCATGGGCCAACACTCTAACTGCTAAGCCAAACCAGCCAGGGCTAAAATGTTAGTTTTTAAAAACTTAATTCTTGTACTTTTATCACTGAATTTGTTCTAAATTATTTTATGATTTTTGTCACTACTATGAATGGGGTGTTTTTCCCATATCTAACAGGCAATTGCTAATATAGAAGAAAACTAATGTTTTGAGTGTATGTATTTGGTATTTATCAATTGAGCTAAATTTTCTAAGTGTGGGTGGCAGCCAGTTGATCTGTCTCTCTCACATGGATGTTTCTCTCTCTCTCTTCCCTCCTCTCTTCCTCCCTCTTTATCTAAAGATAAATGCAGGGGGGGGGGGGGGAAGTACTGAATGAAAAGATCCCAGCTCTGTCACTGATTGTAGTAACAGTTGCTTTAATGTTTCACTCAATCAGATAAGGTTGCTGACTGTAATTCACAGTCTTTTGCAGATTTAGGTAGTTTCCTTCTGTTCCTATAATACTTGAATTTGTATTAGAAAACCTACTTTATCAAATTTTTTTACTTATTGCTATAATCACATAACTTTTACCTTTTATTCAATGATATTCTAAGTTATGTTGATAGGTTTTCCTAATGTTCCATAACATTAAAACTCTACATGATTATTCCTGTGCTTCTCAAACCATTCCCAGTCCATGAAAAAAAATAGGAAGCTCTTTACTTCACTGTAGATTTTGCCATATCCTTAATACCAAAGCCTGCTACAAAATATGTAATACAGAAATTATAGAAGAATTTTACTTATGAAGACATAAACAATTCTAAACAAATATTAGCAAATTAAATCTAGCAGTGGGTTAAAATAATGATAGCAAATGATATGAGAGTATAATTAGAAGACCTAAGATACTCAACAACAAAATAATACTAAAGTAAAAGAATTTCAAAAATGGCTAGATATCAAAAATCAATAATATAAAAAAACAATAACTTTCCTATACACAGATAACAACCAGTTAGAATTTGAAATGGAAAAAAAGAGTATCCTATTCATACCACAGGGTTTTTTAACCAAATTTTTAAAGAAAAATTATTTTCAGTGTTATTTGTGGATTTGTGAAACATGATCTTGAAAATAGAAAGTAAACATGGGTGGGCCCTGAGTGTCGTCTAATGATTAATTCATACCAGACCACTTAGACATTGTGCAGTGGGTACATTGCTGACTCATCAGGTCTGCTGCATTCCCTCAGCCAAAACAAATCCACCAGCCAAATTCAAAACAATTCTATAGTACCCCTGAAAATTACTGGTTAAATTGCGTTTCATGAGAGAATTTCTGAATTAATTTCCTTTTGTTTGGACTGGTCTTTATGTCAAGGGTACAACTGATGTTTACTTTAAGTGGGTTAAACATTGTGTGTGTCACTGTTAACTAAAAAAAAGTAAAAACTCCACATGTAGATAGGATAGAAATTTCCCTGGAAAATTAAAAAACTGAAAACACTCCGGATGTAGATTGGATAGAAAGTTCCCTAGATAGAAAGAACTGGGTCATCTCACTTTGGAGAAGTTTCCCAGCTCTAGGAATGCATTCATTCATTCATGGACTTAACAGATATGTGCTGCACACCAGGCTGCGCCCTTCAACATTTCATATAATACTGGTTTGGTGGTGATGAACTCCTTTAGCTTTTTCTTGTCTGGGAAACTCTTGATATGTCCATTGATTCTAAATGATAGCTTTGCTTGGTTGTAGGTCCTTGCTTTTCATCACTTTGAATATCTCTTGCCACTCCTTTCTGGCCTGCAAAATTTCTTTTGAGAAATCAGCTGACAGTCTTATGGGAGCTTCCTTGTGGATAACTAACTACTTTTTTTTTGCTGCTTTTAAGATTCTTTCTTTGTCTTTAACCTTTGACATTTTGATGATGATGTGTCTTGGTGTGAACCTCTTTGGGTTCATCTTCTTTGGGACTCTCTGTGCTTCCTGGACTTGTATGTCTGTTTCTTTCACCAAGTTAGGGAATTTTTCTGTCGTTATTTTTTCAAATAGGTTTTTGCTTTTTTGTTCTCTCTCTTCTCCTTCTGGCAGCCCGATGATATGAATATTGGAACACTTGAAGTTGTCCCAGAGGCTCCTTACACTTCCTCATTTTTTGGATTCTTTTTTCTTTTTGCTGTTCTGATTGGGTGTTTTTTGCTTCCTTATATTCCAAATCAATGGTTTGCTTCTTGGCTTCACTTACTCCACTATTGATTCCCTGTAAATTATTCTTTATTTCAATTAGTGCATCCTTCATTTCTGATTGGTCCTTTTTTATGTTGTTGATGTTCTCACTAAGTTCCTTGGAGGTCTCCTTAAGTTCCTTGAAGTTCTCACTAAGTTCCATAAGCATCTTTATAACCAGTGTTTTGAACACTGCATCTATTAGATTGCTCGTCTCCATTTTGTTTAGTTCTTTTCCTGGAATTTTGTTCTGTTCTTTCATTTGGAACATGTTACTTTGTCCCCTCATTTTGATTGCTTCCCTGTGTTTGTTTCTATGTATTAGGTAAAATTGCTATGTCTCTGGGGCTTCCTAGGGTGGCCTATTGTTGTAGGGATCCTGTAGGATCTTGTGGCACAGCCTCCCTGGTCTCCCAGCTGGGCACTCGAGGTGCACCCCTAGTGTGGACTGTACACCATTCTGTTGTAATTGAGTCTTGATTGCTGTTGGCATGTCAAAGGGAGGGATTTACTCAGGATGATCAGCTGCAAGGACTGGCTGTGCCCACTAGCCAGTGACCACCTTGGAGGATCAGCTGTTCAGGGGCCCATCACACAGAGCAAGACTTACTTCAGCAGGACTCTGGTACCCACTGAGTTCACTCATTGAGGGTGTTACTTGTGGAGGTGGTTGGGTGGTGATACTTCGATGTGATCTGAAGCTGTCCACTGGGTGTGCTGGCTCTGGGGCAAGGTCAGCCACTGCCTGTGTTCTATCCAGGGCCACCCAGCATAAGCTACAAGTGATCTGCAGATGGCTGCTTCTTGTGCTGGGCTTGAAGGTGCCCAGGAAAAGCCCAGTTGTGAACCAAGGCTGGCTGCTTCTAGTGCCAGGCCTGGGGCCACTTAACAAGAAGTATGGGGCTCGCTGAGACCAGATGCTGCTTGTCTGAGATACTTTAAGAAAATCTGAAGCAGGACCCATGACAAGCCATTCCTATGGTAAAGCCATTGGAAACAACTTGGGTGGGTCCAGAAGGTGAGTGCGACAGGGCCCCAGGGACTCACCAGGGCGGGGCAAACAGTGTGAGCCAGGTTGCCTGAGTCCCAGATATGGTGCCCATCAACCTGCCCTTGGGGGAAGGGCTCACCAAAGGAACAAAGGCTTCTGCCAGCACATCTGTCCAGGAGAAAGCTACCCCTCCAGCTCTCGCCCTAAAACCAAACAGCTCAGTTCTTCCCCATATGTCTCTGGTGCCTTTCAAGCTGCCTCCCCATTGCTGGAGTTCAGAAGGAGCAAGTCCAAGTAAGTCCATGAACAGGCCCTTTAAGGAGCTGCCTGGGGCTCCAGCAGCCTCAGCCTCCCTCAGCCTCTGTTCCTGCTGGTTTTACAGCCAGAAGTGATGGGGATTCTCTTCCTGGCACTGGGACCCTGAGCAGGGTGCCTGGTGTGGGACGGGGACCCCTCAGCCCTCAGGGAGGACCTTCCTAGCCAAGGTGTCCTCCTGATTTTTATCTGCCACACGTGGGTGTGGGCCCAGCCCGTCCCCTCCGCCCCTCCTGCCAGTCTCGGTGTGGCTGCTGCTTTAATCTTGTAGTTGTAGGACTGCCATTCAGCTCGGTGTCTGGTGGTCTGAATGATGGTTGTATTGTAGTTTAGTTGTAATTTTGATGTGGTTGTGGGAGGAGGCGAGACCGTGTTTATCTATGCACCATCTTGACCGGAAGTCTGTTGTTTTGGTTTTTTTCCAAAAGAAATGTGTTGCTCATAATGGGAGCCACCAAAATGTTCATATATTTGATCTCATGATCAGATTTTGGGAAATTTACATTGAGGAAACAACCTAAAAGAGAACATGTCCAAAGATATTCTCATAGTAGTACAATTGGTAATCGTGATAAATTCTTAGCATCCAAATACTTCCAGTGGAGAACTGTAGTGCCTGGATGAAACATTATAGAGGTGTTAAAATGCAAAGAATCTGTTAATTCAGAGGATGGAATTCAACATAAGATGGAATTCACACATGGATTATAATTATATGAAACATCAGTATGAGATGAAGAAAGATTAGAAGCGAATTTAGAATATTGCTAATAGTTTAGAATTTAATTAATTTTCCCCTAAAATTTTCTATTTAAAAAAAAAAAGAAAACCATTCACTGTGTATGTCCAACTGACATGGACATACACAATTGATTCAGGGCAGGCTTAAGAGCAAAGAGCAGAAGCAGTAGCTGCAATGCTTGGATTTGTAGTCGGCCCACCTCCGACCTCTCCAGGCCCTGAACAGAGACCAGGTGCTGAGGCCCAGCACCTCCAAACAGATCGTGCTCACGTTAGCTACTCAGACCTACAAGTATGCATCCTAGCTTCTCTGGGTTTCTAGTTCTGCGCTCTGTCCCTCTTCAGTCTAAATAGTAATGCTAATTACCCAACTTTGGCGACCTGCCCTGAGGCTGACGGTTTGCCTGGAACACCACCATGTCTGTTTCCATGCCTTTCATGTTGTCACATGGGCTTCCTCCCAGCACCTTCTAGTGGAGCTCTTCCCCTGACACTGACCCATTCCATTGCATTTAGCTGGTTTAGGCCCCGATGCCCTCTCTTTATCAAAGTTCATCTCTTCATAGCTCCATGGCTTTTCATTTTTAAGGATCTCTACTAAAAGATAAACATCCTCGAACGCTGTCCCATCTTAAGCCAGTATTTTGCAATCTCGTGGCCAGGTTTGTCGTTCCTTGAGTAAGCAGGGAAGGGGATGAGGCATAGGAATAACAAAAACAGCTACTTTTTTTAAACACCTAGTCTGTGTCTAGCACTTTTTATACATCAATATTCACAACAACCTTACAAGAAAACACTGTGGTTCCCCTTTGCAGATTTGAGAGGTTAAATAACTAATCCTCGATCATATAGCTGCATGTAACAAAGTCGGACTTTAAGCCCAGGCCTATCTGACACGAAAGCCGGGCTCTTTCAACTACCTCATGTAGTTTCAGAGAAAGCACAGTGCTGCGAGTCAGAAACCCAGCTGTGTGGCTTGCACACAGTTCTACTTCCCTGGGCTCTGGCTCCTCAACTGGAAAGTGAGGGAACGAGACTTAAAACCTGCCGACTAAGAAGAAACAGAAAGGGCTAGGGAAATGGCCAAAACAGTCCCCAAAGGTCCTCCTCTCCCATTTCACCCTAAGGACCACTTACTGCCCATCCTAGGTGCCCATGTGGCATGGTATCCATTCACCAGAGAGAAGGGGAGAAAGAGCCAAGGGTGATCACCACAGTCACATTTCCCCCAGTTGTCACATGAAGAAACAAGAGCAGGACTCCTTACACATTTGGAAAGAGAATCCTTTCTGATAGAAAGCTCTGAGCTGGCAATTTGACGCTCTGTAATATAAATACTTTCCCATATGCTGTGGGGCAAGTCCGGGTGGAATGCTACTGGCCCTTGCTGTGGGTGCGGGATTAGCGGTGAGGAGGTCCTCTGGGAACAGGCTCTGAATTTGCAGAAAGGGCTGGATGGAGGAAGTACATGAGGATGTAGATTTTGCATCCAGGACTAAATAATGTCACCATAAGCTTTGTCATCAAAGAAAACATGCAGAATGCAAATGACAGGAAGCATTACAATTGCAACAAAACCCCCTGACCGGGTCAGGCAGTAGGGAACCAATTGTTCTTCCCCAGGAACTACACCAGGGGCAACCTTCCTGCAGCGTCATGCAAGACCTATAATCACCCCTCTCGAAAACACAAGCCTATGCTTTCCTACGTTTTTTGTTTGTTTTTGTATTTCTGTGGTCTTTGTTTTTTTGTTTTACTTTAATTAATTCATTTTTGTTACAGATGTTTCTCCTTTTTTCCTCATTGACACCCTCTTCCCTGCTCCAGCCCACCCCCTTAGGAGTATTGTTGTCTGTGTCCATTGGCTATGACTATATGCGTGTAAGTTCTTTGGTTTATCTCTTCCCAGCCCCCCTCCCCCAGGTTTGTCAGTCTGATTCTCAAGCACCCTAGATGAAACCCACCCTCCATCAAGCTGGAAGGCATACATTCAGCTTCGACCCATCAGTTTCCGACGCTGACTTCAAATCTTGCTCCTCCTCTCATAAGCCCGCGTCTGCAGGAGCGCTTCCCTCCGGAGTCTGCAGCGAGCGCTGGCTGCCCGGACCCTCGGCCTGGCTCCCCACGGCGGCCCGGCGACTTGGCATCTGCAGGAACTGCCACGGCCAGGAGAGCACCCGCGTCCACAGCTCGGCGGGCGGCGGGGCGGGGCTGCTCCCCGTTCTGCGGAAGGGCCCCGGGGCTCCGCGCGTGGGCGGGGCGGGGCCGCGCGAGGCCGGGAGTGGGGCGGGAGCGCACGTGCGGGCGCTGTCACCAGGTCAGCAGTGTGCAGCGCTCTGAGCGTGCTCAAGACGTTTGCCAACTCCCAGCATCTCAAACCAGACTGTCAGGAAGAAGATTTGGTCAATTCTAAAAGTTCAAACAGTAGGCGAAGAGGACGTGAGTGTTTTCTGCCTCCCATGCACGACCTCAGCACTGTCCCCGGGGATCTCGGTCCAGGTGAAGCCGGGAGACGACGGCTCAGAGCCGGGACTGCCGCAGCTGCTGTGAATAGAGATCTGAGGCCTCTCTGATACCAACTGTGTCGTTAGAATTGACCTTTAAAATTCAAATCAACGCACTGTTAAGTCCGTGTTATATGGTGTTTCTTTCCAGACAAATTACTAGTTCACCGGTGAACATGCCCCTTTCCAGGGCTCCAGGGAGAGGGGTGGGGTGGGGTAGCGCAGCGATCTGGGCTCTGTTTTGCTGTTAGGGTCCCCAGGTGGTTGAGCTGAAGTGCAGAAGCTCCTTCCTCAGTCCCCGAGCTTCACAGCCATCAGCTTTTGTGTTTTCTATTTTTGATTTAGCTTTTCTGGATTGTGGGGGTCAGCTAATTAGAGAAAATTCTGCCTGAGCAGGGTCAATACACATATTGAGCTGAGCTTAACTCTGGACTCAGAAAGCCGTGGGGGTGGGTGTTCCTAAACATCCCACAGATGTTTATTGCGTGCCTACGGCGTGCCAGGCACTCCAGTGGGTGCTTTGGATAGACCAGTGAGCAAAGGCCTCACAGAGCTTACATTTCAATAGGAGAAAAGAATGAGTAAATGTATATTACACCATGTGTTATACAAGGTCAGATAGTAGAATATGAAGAAAATAAATAGGGTGAGGTGGCAGAGAGTGATGGGAGCTGCTATTCTCGATAAGGTGGGTGGCAGAATTTTCTGAGGTGGTGATGTTAAGCAGAGATCTACATGAAGGGAGAATGTCAGGGCAGAAAGCATTTGAGACAGAGATAAACAATGCAAGGGCCCAGGGGCAGCTGTCACCCCACCAGTGAGTCAGGAAAAAGCACCCCTTCTGGGCAGATAGCCCATGCCTGGGCTGATTATGGGCTGCTAATCAGACTGCCCTGCCCACTGCACCAGGCCCCGGTGCAGAGGATAGCCTGGGCACTGCCATGCAGCATCTCTCCTACAGGCACATGCTTGGAACTTAGAGGAACAGCAGGAAGGCTGGTACAATTGGGGAAGAGAGGATAGAATGAGGTAGAGTGACAACTGGCAACCCCCTTAAAAGACTAGTGACTTAGGCCCTGGCCGGTTTGGCTCAGTGGTTAGAGTGTCGGCCTGCGGACCAGAGAGTCCTAGGTTCGGTTCCCACTAAGGGCATGTACCTCTTGGTTGCATTTTGTCCCCGGTCCGGTGGGTGGCAACCAGTCAATGTGCCTCTCTTACATTGATGTTTCTCTCTCTCTTCCCCCCTCTCCCTCCCACTCTATCTGAAGATAAATGCAAAAATGTCCTCTGGTGAGGATTAAAAAAAAAGATTAGTGACTTAGAATAAAAATCCTGTCCTTATGTGAACTAACCACCAACCGCATGGGGCAGGATTTAGGAGGAGCCCCCACTGAGGGTTCCTTTCCATTCTCCATTGGGGGCAATGATTTTCTGCCATGATCCATGAGGTCAGCTGAAATTTAAGAGCATCAGCCCTAATGACAATACCACTTTCATTTGGAAACAAGGCTGTCTATTTCCATATTCATTTCAACTCAGAGAGAGTCCTCCTCCCCTTTTTATTCCTTTGTTTATAGTATTTGCACCATGCGTATCTTTCCTGAGATGAGACATTCTGTACAGCAAAGCCAAAAGAACCTTGGTATATTGGCATAACTGTAAAATCACTAATATTTTTTTAAATTACCCCCAAAAAAGTAAAATAGACTTTCCTCACCCTTCTTCCATCTCTAATCCCCTTTTCACTTTTATTTTCTGCTTTATTTCTGAATTGTTTAAAACGTTTTTATAAATCTATTGCTTTGACAAGCCCACATCCAATTACTCGATATTTTAACTTTTAAAAATGATTTGAGAAAACTGAGTTGTTGTGCAGTATCGTGTTGACGTCTACTAGACCTGGGTTAGTTAGCCTGTCTCCCCTAAGTGCCGATTATAAAGGAGTTGATGACAGTAGGTAGAGGGTATGTATATTGCGGAAGGACCTGCTAGGAATGTTATCTGAGGATTTCTGATGCATTGGGAGCTGGGGATATGAAACAGAAATGTAGCCCGAAGAGTTGTTCCATTTCCACTCCCTCCTCTCCCAACACAGACCCCACTGAATCAGGTTAGTATAACCAGGGCCTCCAAGATACAGCAGTGGCCATTCACTCAGTTTAAAGTGGAAAGTAAAGTTAAATCCTATTCTCAGCGTTCAAATCTATTTGTTAATCAAAAGTCAATGAGCTTAAGCATTGTGGTTCAGAAGAAGGAAGCAGAGAAAGCCGGACACAAAGCAAGGGACACATGAATAATGCAGAACTCAGTTCTGTCTGAGAGAAACGAGCATGGCTGACTGGTGACGCTTGGTTGGTTTGCTTACCAGATGATGCTTCACCCTCACCCCAGCCCTGATTTCTCTGGGGTGCCAGTCAGAGATGGGGTGCAGGTGTCTGTCTAGCACATTACTTAAAAGTAAAAACACCTGGTTACAGTTTGTCCCCGGCCCTGGTTGGTCGTGCGGGTGGCAGCCACTCGATGTGTCCCTTTCACGTCGATGTTTCTCTCTCTCTCTCTCTCTCTTCCTCTCTCTCCCTCCCACTCTATCTGTACAAAAAATGGAAAAATATCCTCGGGTGAGGATAAAAAAAAAAAAAAAGTAAAAACACCGCCCTGGCAGTTTGGCTCAGAGGTTAGAGCATCGGCCTTCAAACTGAAGGGTTGTGGGTTTGATTCCCTGTCAAGGGCATGTACCTGGGTTGCAGGTTCGATCCCGACCCCGGTCAGAGTCATGCAGGAAGCAGTCAATCAGTGTGTTTCTCTCACATTGATGTTTCTCTCTCCCTCCCTGCCACTATCCCCTCCACTCTATCTAAAAATCAATGGAAAAATATTCTTGGGTGAGGATTAACAACAACAACAACAACAAAGTAAAAATACTGGAAGTTTAATGGTGTTTGAAGCAGCATTGAAATGTTCTTTGTTTCAAACTGGCTACATTAAATAAATAATCTCAAAGTGGTTATATTCAAACACTGTGTAGAGAAGATAAATGGTGAAGAAAAATAAATAAATAAAGCCAAAATAAAATAAAAAAATACTGTGGACCCATTTCCCCTAAATCTGAAAATGGGATGTTTTAGAGGTCGGGGTGAAAAAGGTGATGAGATTAAGAAGCACAAATTGGTAATTACAGAATAATCACAGGAATGTAAAGTACAGCATAGGGAATATAGTCGATAGTATAGTAATAACTATATATGGTGCCAAGTGAGTATTAGATTTATACGGTATATAAATATCTAATCACAGGATTACACACCTGAAACTAATATCATATTGTACATCTACTGTAATTAAAAAATAAAAAAGCCCTGGCTGGTTTGGCTCAGTGGTTAGACTGTCGGCCTGCAGTCCAGAGAGACCCGGGTTCAGTTCCCGCTAAGGGCGTGTACCTCGATTGCAGTTTATCCCTGGCCCTGGTTGGGTCGTGCGAGTGGCAGCCACTCAATGTGTCCCTTTCACGTCGATGTTTCTCTCTCTCTCTCTCTCTCTCTCTCTCTCTCTCTCTCCCTCCCACTCTATCTGAACAAAATATCGAAAAAAGTCCTCAGGTGAGGATAAAAAAAAAAGGAAAGAAAAATAAAAAATTATTTTTTAAAGAAAGTTTCTATCCCTCAGTGTTGTCATAAGTTTTTTTTTTTTTTTAAGTCAATATACTTAAGATACCCTTCAATTAGCTGAGTGACTGGCACCTAGAAAATTATGCCAATAAATATATATATTTTTAAATTTATCTTTATTGTTGAAGTATTACAGATGTCCTCTCTTTTACCCCCCATTGGCCCCCTCCTTCCCACTCCTGCACCCCCTGCCTTCACCACACCCTTATCTGTGTTCATCAGTTATGTATATATGTTCTTTGGTTTATCTCTTCGCCTCCCCCCACCCCATCCCACTGAGTGTTGTTTGTCTAACAACCAATCTGTACTTCTTTTTTTTTTATTTTATTTTTCTTACAGATGTTTCTCCTTTTTTACCCCATTGACACCCTCCTCCCCATCCCTCCCACCCTGTCACCAGCTTTGTTGTCCATGTCCATTGGTTATGCGTACATGCGTATAAGTTCTGTGGTTTATCTCTTCCCTCCCCCCACCACACCCTCTTCTGAGGGTTGTCAGTCTGTACCCTACTTCCATGTCTCTGGGTCTACCCTATTCCTCAGACTGTTATGTTCATTTTATTCCACAAATAAGTGAGATCATATGGTATTTGTCTTTTTCTGCTTGGCTTGTTTCGCTTAGGATAATACTTTCCAGGTCCCTCCATGTCGTCTTAAAGAGTAAGAGATCTTTCTTTCTTTCTTACAGCTGCATAGTACTCCATTGTGTATATGTACCACAGCTTTCTTACCCATTCGTCTACTGATGGACATTTGAGCTGTTTCTAGATCTTAGCTATTGTAAATAGTGCTGCTATGAACATGGGGGTACATATATTCTTTCTGATTGGTGTTTCAGGCTTCTTAGGGTATATTCCTAGAAGTGGGATCACTGTGTCAA